GAAAGAGGAGGAAGAGCGAGTTCAGAATCATCAAAAAGATTCATTTCAGAACTATCCAAAGTGTTTTTTCAAATTTCAGTTTAGAAAAAAAATTGTTTCAAAATATCAATAGAATTTGTATCAAATTTTTAGAGAATTGGAAAGATCAAACAAGAAGTAAACTCTTTTGGGAATTCCTGAAGTAATGCACACTGATTGTGCTTAATAATAATATACCAAATAATAATATATATATTATAATATACCAAATATATATATAATAATATACCAAAAGATTTGAGCTCGTTGTTCCAAGATGCTAAAATCTAAACATCCTCTCTTGCTTGACTGCATGTTAAATCTTTCCTATTCTTTCTTATGAATTTTATATTGGTTTACTATAGCCTATGCCTTATGAATACTTAGTGTCAAATGCATATTCCTTAGAAGAGATGCAGGTTTTGCCATTAACAACACTTAGACCAGGATATATCCCCGAATCCATTTTGCAAGTCAGCCCTTGCTGCATTTCCTTAAACACTACGATTAACAGTTCTCCAGCAGCAGGTTTCAGATGCAGTTATTAGAAGGAAGAGTTGGCCCTTTGGCCTCAAGCAAAACAGATTAAGGCCTTTTATTTTTTTGTAAAGGACCTGCATGACCAAGGGAGATCCCCCCATTGCCTTCAAGGCCTGGCAAATAGGGCCCTTGCTCTGTATCTTGCTGATGACAAACATTATCTCTCTTTAAAACAGTCGGCTATTTAAAGGATGCGGCATTTTCTTGTAATATTAAAAAAAAAAAAAAAGTAATACGTAGTCTTGAAAGATAGCTCAGTCTGTTGAATTATTGTACAGGACGAGCGGTTCTCAAAGTGTTGCAATCAAAAGCGAATTTACTTCCCTACGGCTGGCTTTTGATTATTGATACAGTAGAGGGAAAGGTTCATTTAAATATATAAATAAAACGCACTGTTAAAAAGGTTCAGCGACTTGCAGGGCTTTTTTTTTGCTGTTGTCACTACTGTGGCTGCTTCCTTTAGCATGTTAACCTCCATTGCCCTGGAAAAGGGCAGCAAAACAAATACCCCCTAAATGCTTTCTCAGAGCAGCTCTTTATTTGCACAGCGAGCTATCACATCCAACACTGTTTGAAAACTCCAGGTTTATCCAGTCTCCCCGATCATGGAGCTTTTATGGTAGAGTTTCTGATTGGGTTGATCTTGGTAGAATTTAGGCACCTAATTTATTTAAGCACTTCCAAAAAAACCCTTTAGATGGGATTTTCAGGCATCTCAAAACCTTTGAAAATCTTGCTCCTAACTATCTGTTCTGCCTTGCTTAGTAAATCCCCTTAGGAAGGCAGAACAGTGGAATAAAATCTGGATGTGTCTGTGTTGCTGCAATTTACTTCCTCTTTGCTCTCTTTCCTATAAGGTATGAATGAGGGGAGAGGAAGAAGGGAGGGGAGGGAATAAAAGAGAAGTGATTCTGGATTATCCTGGCCTTATCCAAAGCCAGTTGGAGTATAGAGTTTTCCATTCATTTTGAGGGAATTTGGGTTCTACAGTTGGGTCAGCAGCTGTCATCAGCAAGACCATGTAAAAATATCTTTTCCCCACCACCTTGTCATTACTTCTTCCTCCTATGAAAAAGGGAGACTTGAGAGCAAACATTTGTTAGTATAACTGGCACATATATCGAATCTGCTTAGTCTGGGCTGTTAAGTAAGTTTAATTAATTTACTAAGTTAATGTTCCAACTCCAGCAACAAAGCATCATTGCAATCAGCTGGGTAGCAGGAATTGGAACCCCTAAATGAGCTCATTTTTTCACAGTTGGAATTAGGGACCAGTTAGCCAGTTGTGTGGTTTTTCCAATTTCTCCACTTGCCCTAAGGGAGTTGCAAGTTATTCATTCCCCATTGCTAAGTGTGAGTAAGATGGGGAGGGGGGAAACACGAGCAAAACCTACTCCACATAAGAGTCCATCTTTGATCCTAACACTGCTGATTCCCTTGCTGTTGTCTGCACTTATCTTCCTAGCTTGGTCCAAGAACGGCGTTTGCTGCTATTTGTAATAGTTTGGGGAAGCAGAAAGGCATCACTAAGAGATATTTACTACATGTGTTTTCATCAGGAGTGTGTGCAGATAAAGGGGGGAAAAAAACAAATAAACAATAAAAGAATGGAAACAAAATTACAGAAATTTGCAAAGTTTGACAAATGGTGGCCAGGAGTTGCCACAAGCTAATGGCTTGCAATGATTAATAAGAGTAAAAATAATTGCATTTCATTAAGATTGATGACACCCCATTTAACCTCCCTTCTCGTTTCAGCCCTAAAGTGGAAAGAGATGAAGTTCTCATCTATAATAGCTCCTGTAACATTACCATGGAAACTGAGGCAGAGATGGAGTGTGAGGGAGCTAATCAGCCAATTACCGCCAAGATTACTGAGATATGGAAAAACTGGGGCCAGAACACTCAGGTATAATCAAATCTTTTTTACAGACTGATTCAAACAGCTTAAAATTAAATTTGTAATATTGTGTACATTTAAAGGGGGCAAAAAAAACAATTTAGGCTGAACAGCAGCAATATATAATATTAAATGCTTTCCAACTTTGAATAGCAATTCTAATGCAGTGCAGCTGTATTAATGGTTAACTAGTTAATCATGTATTTTATGAGACATAAATGAGCTTTACCTTATTTTCTGGACAGCATATGTCTTTTTTAACAATCTGCTTTTTATATAAATGCAAATTCTGTTTAAAAGGTGCTTTTTTCTGTTATCATTGTCACTTGATAACATATCTTAGGTGTGAGACACGGAGTTTGAGCTCTTCTGCAGAAATGGAGCATTCAGCATTGGTTCAGCTATGGTTATATTCGGGGGATTTTTTGCTCCTCTTCAGCATCTGAAATAAAATGAGACAGTCTCTCCTGGGCTATGTGTGGGTATAACAAAGAAAAAGACATTAGCAAAGTTCTTTTTGTAGAACAAAACAAAAACTACGGCTCTGATAACTCTTAACTAAAATCATAATATCTACAAACTTTAATTGCCAACTTAAAATAGGCTTTCAGATTTTCTGGGGTGTTGAGCTGGGGTACTGGGTTGTGCCACGGAATTTGGGGAGGAGAGGAAGATTTTGGAGGAAAGTCAAATATCCCCTTTAGCTGCCCTAAATGAGCAGCTCCTGAAATGACTCCATCAATGAGATGAGCTGGACACCTGACTTGTCAGAACAAATGTTGTCCTTTACCTAATAAGTCAAATTATTATAAAGTCATCTTAGTATAGATGAGACCTAAGAAACTGAAGTCTTTTTTTTTTTTTTTTTCTCAGAATGGATGTCAAAGATGCCATGGTAGTTTTTAACTCTGATATCTGCAATTAATTTCTTTACCTGCTTCCCAACCTGGAAATAGCTACAATGTCCTGGCAAAATACTTTTGTTTCTAATACCAAATTCTGAAGTTTTTACTCAGGCAGGAGTCTCTGAATTTGCGCTGTATACATATTTCAGATGCTCGTTACCACTGCAACCTAGTCTCCTAAAATGCATCTACTTTCCTCTATTCCGTTTAAAGAAAAACAGCATATCAAAAATTAAGTCTGTCTTTGGCCTGTAAAGGAATATCACACACAACCTTATCCCTATTTTTGCTGCCAACCTTTATAATTTCCCATCTTTTTTGTGCTCCAAAAAATGTGAGCTGGCTCCTTCTCCATGGCTTATTCCCTCATTAGCATTGCTAGTTATGCTTCCAGAAACAAGCACTGCTACAGGGGAAAAACATCCCCCCAAATTATTACTTAACCACTTTAGGAGGACAGTGAAGTGAAGTGCTTAGGCCAGCAGCAAATCAAATGGTAACTTCTCCTTTCCTTTAAATTTTCATTTGTAAATATGCTAAGGACACCCGGGTCCACTGAGCCCAAGGACCCATCATCTCCTGTCGGCTCCAGGCGGATCTGCTCGTGTGTATCTTGGGTCCATAGTCTCAGTAAGGAGATGAAGATCTGTCTATATTTTTTCCTGGTTCAGGCAGGAGCAAGGATAGGAAGACACTGTGGGATTTATCCCTGGTTGCTCAGTACAATGTGGGGAAAATCCACAAAGTCTTAGGTGTCTTAAAAGAATGAATGTAGGGGAAGCAGGGCAAAACCAGCAGTGCTTTCAGCTTCAGCGCTGACTTCTACTTAATGAATCCAGAGGGTATTTGGAATCATTTTATCCCTCTTCCCAAACCTGGCCTGGGTGAATAGAGGTGGGTGGGTGGGGAGTTCAGATAAATGGTTTCAATTTGGGTCCCTTTCTAGCTGACAGCATCTTGTGAAGATTTACGACTTGGTGCAGCATAGGCATGCTTCACTGTGGAGGTTTAAATCATGTCATGTGAACTGGCCTTACCTTTCCAGTGGAAATAATGGTCCCCAGGTTCAGCACCAAGCAGTGAAATGCATTAATAGCACCACGTGCCTTAGGATAATGGTGTTATTAACAGGCAACACAACTTGGCGTACAAGTAATGGGACTGCATCTTTTTATAATAACACCCGGCACTTCTGTTCCACTCTCACATAAGGATCTCAAAGCAGTTCATAAAGACTGGTCCTAATCCTTAGCTGCTGTCAGTATATGTAGCTACAGCAATCAGTTGTTTGGTTTCCTGCACGCTTTTCTGAATGATGCTCCTGCAGGCTGGCAAGTCAGCAGCATCTTAGCAAGGCTTGGCTTTGTGGGAGGCTTTGGGCAGGGATGAGGAAGCCTCCCCGGATTAGAGCCAGGGCAGTATTGGATTAAAAAGAAGCATCACAGAATGTCTGGTAAAAGTATAAATGAGACTTTGCTACCAGGAGCATGGAGGGAAGAGAAGAAAAAAACTTTGGTTCAGAGCAGAAACGCACAAAAGAACCCTCTAAAGTTTGGTTCTTGGAAATTGAATCTAAGGGCCGCAAGCTTTAGAGTGAGGGCGTGTTTTCTTCTGTCTTTATAAAACGCCTAATGAGGCTAGTTCTTAATGGAAAAGAGAATGCCACAGTCATCTGGG